CTGAATTGCCAACTAGTGCAATCACACCAATGAGGTCAAAGAGTGGCTACTTTAATAGACACCAGGATTTCTACTCAGCTACTGAGAGTACTAAGCAAGACAGTCATTTGCTACTGCTAAAAACACTATCCCAGGTGGTGGAGATGGTGATGATGATCGTGATGATAATTATGGTAATGGCAAAATAGAGAACAAAATTTCTCAAACCCTGATGATCAATGGAATCACCTGTGGACCTTATTTTTTTTTTCTTTTTCTTGGGCATGCACACACGCGCCCGACGTAAGTTTAAGCCGCCAGGTCCAGGACTCGAACCACAGTCGACTACATCGGAATCCAGCAACATAGCCATTACGCTAACTGCTGGTCCCAAGCTTTTTTAAATACTGATTCTTGGTTCCCATAACAGAACTACAGATTTTTTGATATCTGAAGAAATAACACAGGAATTTATTTTTAATGTAACCATAAGGATAACTGAAGTGACAGCATTTGTAAACAAGGTGATGGTTAAGAATAAGGGGTCCATAGACACTCTGGCTGGTATCTTATCCCAGTTCAAACACTTCCTACTTGTATGACCATGGATAAAATACTTACCTTTATGTCTCAATTTCCACATCTATAAAATGGAAATAGTAATATGACCCATGTATAAAACTGAAACGTTATTGCTACCTACTTCAGAAGACAGATGTCTAAAAAAAGTTAGCAAATTTTTAAAAAGCACATATAAATTTCAAGAAAGACTAAAAGTTTTATGTTAAAGAAATCATAACCAACCAGACTATATCATCTGGCTTAGCAGTAGTTAAAAAAAACAATAACATAGTTATGAACATGTACATAATACCTATTGATTTAAACAAAAATTGTGGTATAACAGCATTAGGAGACTATGGGGAGCAGAAGAAGTAAGAGTGGGGCATGTCAGAGAGTTTTTATAAAATATCAAGAAAAAATAATATAAATATATAATTTAGAAAAGGAGAGAGAAGCACAAAAATATTACAGTTGAAAGTTGCCAATTCTGAGAAGGGATCCGGAAAGAGGAAAAGAGGTAGAAAAAAAGGGTAAGTATTGCAGTTTTTCAATATTTGCTCTATTTTTAAGAGATTTTTGTTATAGGGTGTGTGCACTTGCCAGAGGAGAGATCACCTCCTGGGGGATGGCCATGCTGCAATTCCTTCTCCTCCATTATCCTCTCGAGATCTTGGGCATGCACACACACAGAGACACATACACACGCCCAACATGAGTTTTAAGCCTCTAGGTCTGGGACTCAAACCGTGGTCGACTAAATGGGAGTCAAGCAACATATCATTATACCATCTGCTGATCCCCTTTTTTAAAAGTTTATTTACTGGGAGAGAGAGAGAGACAGCATTCTCAAGGCATGATTTTCCCACCAGCCCTGCAGTCAACCAGAATCATGAGTACACCTATAAATACAACTGGTGTGTTCAACCAGACCCAGGCCTCAACCCTGGAACCTGCAGCACCCCTCCTACCAGCAGCACATCAGCTGGCCAACATTTGCATTTTAATGCTGTGTTATTTAAACAATGTAGTTAAGTTGCTTCACTCAATATTAAAATACATTTTAAATGATTTGTCAGAATGTACATAACACTATATTTCTTTATATACTGGGATTAAATATAAAGTTCTTCAATTTACCAAAATTTGCTCTAACAAACAAAACTGATGGATATAATCCTTCCTACTATGGTACCAAAGTGGTCAGTTATTTTAAGTGTAGTTAGATTAAACACTTTGCCCCAGTGACACTATCTGTCCTAAAAAGACATTTGTTGGTTGGGACAGTGGTGCAGCAATAAAATACAACATTCTACAAGGTAAATCCATGTGGAAGGGTTGCAGGTTTTTTTCCCAGAGATGCCCTGAGTATGCTGGTCACATGTGTACCATGGTGTAGGCCGGTGAGGATGAGAATGGATTATGGTGTTGAGATCTTCTCTCTGTCTCTTTCTCTCTCTCACTCATGGAATAAATAAATAAATAAACTAAAAAATACACATATGTTTTTGTTGAATCAAGGATGGCAGAAAAAATGTGAAGAAAAAAATTATTTGCACCATCAAGGTTGTAGGAAGGTAGTAGCATCTTGGCTGAGGTAACTAAGTTTCATTTAATGAACAGTATAGGCAGAGTTATGGTAAACCAATAAGGGATGTCCAGTACCCTGTAGTTAGCAAGAATTCTGTTAATACCCCAGACTTAGAGGGATAGAGAGAAGCAGTAGTTATCTGACAGTGAAAGAGCTACAGCTGTAAAAGAAAGATCCCCACCAGAAACAATGGCCTTCCTTAGAAAAAAGCAGCCTTTGTCAACCCACAGTGCTGCAGGGATCAAACAGAGAATAATATTTCAACCTAACACTGCCAGATCTTCACCCAATACCTTCCACTGGGTAACATATCAGAAAGCCTCTGAACAAGGGAGTCCAAGGAATGCTGACAATAGAGGCTTTGGCCCCCTGGGTCTCAGTCATTCAGAAGAGAAAGGTGTTAGAAGAACAAATGATTAAAAAAAAAAAAAATCTAACACAAGTACTATACAGTTATTTTTTTAATTTACCTTCCTTTCCTACTCAGTCTCACAAAACAAGTCCACCAATTTTCCATCTGTTTCAGAAATATGTATTATATAATAATAGTAACACCTTGTTATTATGTATTTATGTTACAATTTGCTAAGCATTTCATATGCATTGTCTTTCTATGATCCTTAAAACAACCCTATATAGTAGATAGGGCACGGGTTATCCTGATTTTACAGGTGAGGAAATCTAAGACCTTAAGAAGTCAGAAATCGTGCCCAGAGTCACAAGCCTAGCAAGTGGCAAATTCAAAACTAAAAGGCATGCTTCCTAACATTCCAGCTAAGGCTCTTCCTACCACATGATGCTGTTGTGCTGTTTATTACAATAGGAGTGCAAAACCGATGTCCCCATGAAACAAAATCATTAACCAGCTTTGTTACAGCCACTGCATAGAACACAGAAGCAGTCAACAAATAAGACACAAGGGGACACAGAAAACTTGCCCACTCCATTCTCAGGAAACCACAAACAATGCCACAGACCGAAGTAATTGAGTTTTCAATCACATTTTACACATCACTGAAAATAAGGTGTTCAGTAGGGGAGAAAAGGTGTTCAAAAGAGAAATAACAATTGAGGGGAAAGCAGAAAAATATTTAAAGAGTATAACTATTTTGTTTTGGCGTGGTGGGGTAAATAAAAAGAAATCACAGCCCCTTAGAATCCTCATGCCACAAAGGGACTGAGGCCAGAGGATGACCTCTTTACTTCTTTCATTTCCAGCCCCACCCTTGAGTAAACACATTATCCTCTGAGGGCTTAGAGAAGCAGCCAAGAGTGCTTTCTTTGTATCAAAACAGGAGTACTGAGGAATCTAGCAAAATAACCTATGTTTAAGTATCTAATTGCAAATTCTCCACTTTTTGTACTCTATTAGGAAACATTCATGATGGAAGAAAGTAATGAATGGTATTTCCATTGTAAGTCTCCAGACATACCTCATTTATTCCAAATCTAGTTCACTAATGTATAAACTACTCTATCAGTTAGGGTTCCGTGGTTGCAAGCAACAGAAACCAATTGACTAACTTAAGGACTATTGGAAAGAAACAGTTTGCCAAGTTCTCAAGATGAATATATCATCACCAACTCAAACCATTTAGGAGCATTTATTTCTCAAAGTTATCAAGCACAGCTTTGTTCCAAGATGTAACTCAATGGCCAAGAAATATGTAAGTTATATGGTTAAAAATAAAAATTATTTAAGAAAGTATTTTCTTCAAAAATATCCAGTCATTAAAGCAAAATTCCAAGCCAACCTGCTTTCAGGTACTGCAGTTTAGTCACTCCAAAGCAAATCCTCAAAAGGGAGTCTTTATAGTTCATGTTTCAATTATTCAAACAGGGTTTTCTCCAATTCCCCTGTAAAATTCTTCTTCTACCTCAAAATAAACATTAAAAATTCAACTCTGGAAGTAAATTTATCTTAAAGTTAAGAATAACTTAAAATATAAGGTAAATCAAAATGGCTTTTCAACTTTAAAGTGGTCATGATCATGATTACTGTAATAAAAACGACAGAAAAAAACAAAATTGTCAAAAACATAATTGATGATACAAACAAATGTGAAATTATGGCATATTTCACCATGGCCACCAAAGACTCTTGATGAAACTGCAGCCCTATAATTCCCCAGAATGAATTCTTTAAATTAAAATACTTCGTGCAGAACAGAAATTAAACAATGAATCAAAGAACAATGCTGTACAGAAGTATACTTATAAATATACCTAGCAAAGAGGAAACAATTACAGTTTTTCATGTAAAAACCAACTCAATTGTAATGTTTCACAGGAGGCAGAATAGCTACTTTTCCCATTGCTTAGAGCTTGGAAGTTCATTTCCTGCAACTCACTTTAGGGTCCAGAGTGACTGGGTGGAATGAAATTAGCTACACCAAACTGGCTACTTTCTCCTTTCTACAAAGCTTCTCCACACAACTGCACAACTGACTTTCACAATAAATTTCATCTAACCCAATTGAAATGCCACTCTGCATTTTATTTTAAATGCTTTCTCTGGCCAGCTGGTTTTATTTAACTATTGACCAGAAGTGGTAGAAGTGCATTCTTTTTCCATCTAGCATTAATCTTAGTAAATTTAGCTCCATTGGAATGTCTTAACTGCTGAAAAGAAAGCAAAAGTCAGCAAGCATACAATTGCATTTGGCTACCCTCAGCACACCATTTTATTTCCTCCTGCTCTCTGCTAACTATTGCTCAGCACTTTTGCCTATGAGGGAGGACAAGCAGGTGGTTAAGGAAGTTGTCCTGTCAGCTATATCTTTAATCCAAGTGTTTAAATCTCTGAATAAAAGAAAAATCAATGTTGTAAAGGCAATGTTTGTCAAGGCCATGTAATAAATACACTTACCTTTACAGACTGCTCTCAATGGATTCCACTTCGTTTCTGAGCTTCAAAGCTACAAAAAAGATAAAAACGAAAGACTGAGTTGTCTGCAAGTAAAACACCAAACAATTTCTCTCTAAACAGAATTTTGATATGCCATGGTGTGTGGTGTTAACCAAATAAACCATTGATAAAACGTGTGCCTTATACATCCTGCACAAGAGGCTGATGAAAGATAGTCATTAAACACCACACACACACACACACACATCTTCCCAGAATTGAATTATACAAACTTGGCCAAATATACCATCAAATCTTCTGGGGTATGAACTCCTCAACAGATCAGGAATGACTTATAAAGTGCAGAGATGAAAATCAAATTTAACATTAGTGCAGTACACCCATTCTGACCATGCATTTTATCATCTGATTCTCCTGTCATCTTTCTTGCACACTCTATTTCCACTTTCCTGAAAAAGTTTTACTCTGGGTAGTATACATCTTTCATTTGGATAAGATGCATGGTGCTTCCAAGAGATTCCCAGTTGCCTCTATGAATATGTGTGCATGCTTATAGAGATATTCCTCTCTCTAGGTAGAGTGCATCCTTCTCTCAGAGGAAATTCATAAAACAAAGGAAGCCACAACTTGACATTTCAAATCAAAACTTGACTTACTAACTTACTAACTACTGTGACCCAAACGTTCCATGCACCGACAACTCACAAGTCAATATGATAGGAGAGCTGTAAAATTATAGTTGTCAAGCAATAGTAATAATTTAAGGTTTCAAGGGGCTGATTCCATAGTGGACCAATATTACTTATATGCTGGCTCCATAGTTAAAAATAATTGGACTGTGCCTGCTCTATCATTCTTGGCTAAGCTATAGCCTTTCCTAAAGGTATAATAGTTGGGAATGAGCAACACTCCATGGCTTTCCCATGGTTCTTTTCTTTTTATCCTTCAACATCTTAAATGTTTATTCAGCTCTCACGGGGTTATTTCACTCTACATCTCCATATCCCAGCCAAAACCCATTGGGCTATGATATAAATCTTGGAATATTAATGCAGGAAATAAGGACCTTCTATGGTACAGTATCAGAAATTTCTCCTTTTCTCATACTCAAAAGAAAGAGAAAAAAAAAATCACGTAAAAAGATAACAGAAGGGGACCAGCAGTTAGCATAAGGGCCATGTTGCTGGACTCCCACGTAGTGGACCGCAGTTCGAGTCCCGGACCCAGTGGCTTAAACTCATGCCAGGCGCATGTGCATGCGTGCCCAAGAGCCCGAGAGGAGAATGGAGGAGAAGGGATTGCGGCATGGCCATCCCCCCTGGGGTGTGATTTCTCACTTTGTCTCTCTGTCTCTCTCTGTCTGTCTGGCGAGCGCACATGACCTATAGCAAAAACCTCTCCAAATAAAGGAAAAAAAAAGAGATAATGGAAGTAAATTTTATAAAATGAAAGAGATGAGTCTTCTTTAAAAAGCATACCAAGATCTCAAGATAAATAAAAGCAAATCCACACTGAGATACATCAGAATGAAACCACAAAACACCAGAGACAGAAGGAAAGTGTTAAAGTCAACCAAACAGAAAAAAATGAAATCACACTTCTTACAAAAGAACATGTCATCAGCAAAAATAAAAACAAGGCAGCAATGGAATAATACATTCAAAGTTTTAGGGGGAAATAACTTCAACTAAAATCTATACACAAGCTGGGCATGGCAGCCTGCGCTTATCATCTCAGCTAACCAACAGGTTGAGGCAGAAGGATCGACACAGGGCAAACCCCTGTATTAAATATATATATGTATTTAAAAAGTAAATATCCACAAAATACCTATCATTCAATAATGACAAACAAATAAATAAGGACATTTCTAGGGAAAAAGTTGCATATTGCCCACAGTAGTTTACTTTTTCTGAAAGAAATACTGAGAGATATATCAAATAATAAGGAAATATTCTCAGAAGAAAGGAATGGAAAATAAGCAATGGTGAACAGAGAAATTACCAAGCATATTGGTAAATCCAATCAATTTAATCATAAGTATTTGATACTAATTAATAGTGATTAAGCCCTGGTTGTGAAACAATAAATAAACAATGATTTTTAGGTTTGCCAATAAAGTAAAAATGAGCAGTTTATCATAATCCTATGGAAGAAAGGGGGAATAAATTTTGTAGGAGGAAGACAGAAATCCAAATAAGTTGTTAAAAAATATGTAGTAATAGTACTGATTAGCTTGTTAAATAATTTGTTCTCTATTTTTCTCTAGTTTCTCTGTTTTTCTCTATTTATATAACCAGAGTCCCTTGTACACATGCTCACATAGATTTATACAAGAATGTTTAGAGCAGTATTCAGTAAAAATATGTTGAATAAACAAGTGGAAGTGAATTCTAGTCTTTGTGTAGAGCTTTAGTGTCTGAAAATTTGTGTGTGCAAATCTGTGAGCTAGCAGTCTAAAATGGGAACAAATCAGGATCCCAGAACTCTTGTTCCAGTGATCTCCATACATATCTATAGATATAAGTCAGGAGTAGTTACTCAAATTAACCCTCTCTTTCCCATATTTTCCTTGACCCCAAAGATCCAACTTCTACAAGGCTATGAAAACATTTTTACTGTAGCAGCAATGTTATACAACTTTCCACTCTCCTTATGCCTAGCCTGTCCATGTTTTGTTCAAAAACAACCTTTGTATCCTTTATATGACACCCTGAAAGACATAAATTAGATTTAAATGACTCCAAATAGGTTTGGGCTTCAGCTGCTTCTTAAAGAAATAAACATTGAAGCAGAGCAGCACAGACCAATAACACACTGATTTATCTTGGTAGTTTTCAGAGTATAGCTTTCCAGAAAATCTTTATAAATTCAAGCCTCACAACTTATGAGCCAGGCTCCAGCTCCCTTAAAAACTGGTCTCGGGGCCAGCAGGTGATGTAGTGGTTAAGGTACTGGACTCCCATATGGCCAACTTCAGTCTGCTAAACCTGCGAGCTTGAAACTCAAGCCAGGTGCATGAGCCTGCATGCCCAAAATCCCAGGAGGAGAATGGAAGAGGAGAGATTGTAGCATGGCTATCCCCACTGGGTGATGCTTCTCACTTTTCCTTCTCACAGTCTCTGTCTCTCTCTGGTGAAAACATGTGCCCTATGGAAAAAAAGAAAAAGAAAAGAAAAAAAGAAAAACTTTAAAAAACAAAAACAGAAATTGGTCTGAATTTATACAAACATTTTTCATATATATGGAAACCTGCTTTGATTGTGATAAATATTCTCCCAGATGAAACTTACCCCTGGGAACCATCGACCTACACCTTACTTAATGCAACACCTGGAATTCACGGACTTGCCTCTATTGTTACATGCTGTAGCCCTCACCTGACATTAACAGCCATATTAAGGGACTGGTTAGTGACCTTTAACAATCACCTACATACCTAGGAAAGAGTCTATATTTCGGTACAAGAATAAAGACACTGAATAAATTCAGTACTCATTTTCATTTTTATGCTACGTTCAGTGAGCTGTTGCTGCAGACAAATTATTGCAACATTCTTTGAAACGATAGCCAATTTTTGACTAAGTGAAGATTCTTAAACCTCTTTCTAAAACCTTTCTCTGCATATCGGTGAAAACCAGGCAGTTGGAAAACATTGCCATGGTTAAACTACCTGATGATAAATTAATTATTTTAAACACATGGAATTATTTGAGAATCTGCATGCTGATTTAAGCCCTAATGAGAAATGGTAGCAAAGACCCCTGATACCTGAAACTTCTCAGATCTATTTCTAAATGTTTTATTTCAATTTACATATATGAATTTCATCTAGAGTATTTTAAGAATTTGTATAACTCTAATATATTCAGGTTTGAGGGAGGTGGAATGCTCAAAATAATTCTTAGTTTTATTATTTACATGGAAAACTGATCAAAATGTATGTGAAAATCTTTCCATCAAACCATCAGTTCAACAATACTATAGAACACATCTCTATTGTCCTATATCAAATCTGTATCCTCTAAGACACTGTCTGGCACATAATATACACTTGATAATATTTGCTTAATAAAGGAATACAACTTTTCATTACTATTAAAAGTGGAAACTAAGAATTCTTAAGCTAAAGTTAGGTTTTTTTCTTTTTTTTTTTCTTGATTTGTTCTCTGGGATTTTGTAAAATAAAAAGATCTGTCTCTGAAGCCTATATATACTTCCTGAGACATACACACACACACACACACACACACACACATACACACACACACACACACCAGAATACACCCTTGCCACACATGTTTAATGCTGTCATATTTGCCAAGCAACCGAAAAGTAAATTTGCCAAGTAACATGAGCTCTGTAAAATCATTAGGTGACATCTGAGGAGCAGAATAACAATCAGCCAATAATTAGAATGTGAACATTCATAGAGTTACAGACAAATCAAATTTCATGAAATCTCGGGGAGCATGACCCCAGCTGGCTTTGTATCCTGGTAATAAGGAGTCAGTGAGGTGTCTGACCATCCAAATAGGACTGGAAAGTACCATGGTTGGTTTAATCCCAGGGGAGACACTTTGACAATGTGACATTTGCACAGGGATGCCCTTACATGGCCCCAGTATGTTTTCTCAGAATGGGCTGACATTTCAAGTCAAACAGTTCTGCTCCCAATAGCACGGACCCTCCCCAAACTTTAATAGTCTGGATTTGAGAAAAAGAAATTCATCTTATGGAGAAACTGAGGTTATGCAGATGCAATTTAAAATAATCCATTTTTAAGGAAAGTCAAACCAGATAGTCAGTGATAAATCTCATTTGTTAACTTTTCATCATTACATAGACCTAAGGTCGCCTTAGTCTAAAAACCATTCTCATTGAAGCAAACTACTGTTCCTTCAGCATCCACACTGGATATTCTTCAATGAATGCTGAAACCAGTTATATAGTTGTGCTATGAAGAAGCCTGGAGAGTGACTGTCAGTTCACTGTGGTCTCAACCAAACCCCTGCTGCCTGGAACTGCTGTCCACATGCAAGTCACTCC